TAATTTGAGGAGTACAATTGGTTCAGGTTCATGTGAGTACAGATGTACAAATGTAGCTTTAGACATTTCTTGATATGTGTAACAGTAAACTAGGCCACATTGCTGACACCTGTCCTTCCTACAGTAACCAGCAAGCAGGAATTTGGCTCATTCAGTGACACATCGGGAGGTGCTTCTTATTATAACCTCTTAAATCGTCTTCCTGGGCTTAACGTCTAAGCAGCTGTTTTCAGCTATTTTTTAATTTGAGGACTACAATACAGGTTCATGTAAGTACAGATATCAATATCATCTGTAACAGACTCAGACTAGATAGAGAGGTCCTTCTTACTATAATCTCTGTTTAAAATCTTCTTGGAGTTTGTAACTAAGGTGCTGTTTTCAGCTATTCTTGGCTTTGAGGACTACAATACAGGTTCATGTGAGTACAGATATCAATATTATCTGTAACAGAAAACTCAGACCAGATAGAGAGGTCCTTCTTACTATAATCTCTGTCTAAAATCGTCTTCCTGGAGTTTACAACTAAGGAGCTGTTTTCAGTTATTCTTTGGTTTTGAGGACTACAATACAGGTTCATGTAAGTACAAATATACTTAGTAGTACCCAAGACATTTCTTGATATGTGTAACAGTAAACTAGGCCACATTACTGACAGGTCCTTCCGACAGTAACCAGCAAGCAGGAATTTGGCTCATTCAGTGCCACATCGGGGGGTGCTTCTTATTATAACCTCTTAAATCGTCTTCCTGGATTTTGCATCTAAGCAGCTGTTTTCAGCTATTCTCTGGTTTGAGGACTACAACAATACAGGTTCATGTAAGTACAAATGTCAGTATAGTTTGAGACATATCTGTGTAACAAATCTCTGTCTCAAATCTCTGTCCTGGAATTTACATCTGTTTTCAGCTATTCTCAGGTTTGAGGAGTACAGGTTCATGTAAGTAGTTTGAGACAGTTCTTGATATCCGTAACAGTAAACTAGGCCTCACTGGTATGTCCTACTTAAAGTAATCTCACTCTCAAACCTTTCTCCTGGTGATCACATCTACCAAGCTGTTCAGCTAGAGGTTTGAGGATTACAATTAGGAATACAGTTTGTGTATCTATTAATAGGTCTTAGGTGTTCAGTACTTTGAGGCACGTTTTTTACATCTGTGACAGTAAACTAGGCCACATTGAGAGGTCTTTTGTATTATAATTGCTATCTCCAAAAATAATTTTCTACCTGGTGTGCACAGCTAATTTATCAGCTACTTAGTCTTAAAGCTTGCAGTACAGGTGCATGTATAGTACTGGGTATTTGGTTTATTTATTTATTTATTAACAGGGTTTAAAATACTTTTTTTTTCCAGGTTGCCCGGGCGGCAACCTGGGTCAAAAGCCAGGTTGCCCCATCAGGATTTCAGGTTGCCCCATTTCAAAGGATCTGGATTCTTCAAATCTGCTACCCAATATCCATTATCCTTTCTTTTTATCAATTAATAGGTTTGTTTATCAAGTAGCAAACACAACAGCTGTCAAACATCATCGTTTATTCAAAAATGCTACCTTCACATCTCCGACTCTGAGCCGGAAGAACTGCTGGTTTCATCATCTGCCTCGTCCTGCCTGGGCCTTCTTCCATAAACACCCAGAGCTCTCTCAATATGACCAATCCACCTTGTACTTAGGGATGCGGACCTTAACCCACGTTCAGGTTCTGGACTCATAACCAGAGGTTTAGGTTCAGGTCCGTACCTGAAGGATGAACTGAACTGAACTGAACCGTACCTTATGATTCCGGACCTAAACCCATGGCAATGCAGTTACACCAGCATAACTCGAGCAACTTGGCTAAATTAAGATGAAAACTCTTTAATAAATACTTCTATCAAAGAGTCAAAGACAGAAAGATTGAAGTAAACTCAAACTTGTCTTGTGTTATTCACTGGTAAGTTCTGACACAGCCGTGCAACTACTGAGTACTGTTAGCACCCTTAATTTTGAAAAAATTGGGCATAGGTTCCCCGGATGACCCCTAACCGGGGGCCAACGGTGCTTCCACAAGTTCAACAAGTGAAAAATACATGATACAAAATGTACATGTATTTACTACCTGGAACTTGGAGCAAGTAGGTGTTACCAACATCTTAATAAACTAAACCAAATATAACTATTATATTAAAGCTAGTAGTAGTAACCCTATCATATCCCAAACAAAATCACATATTGACACAGCTGAACAAATAAAATTGTGATTATGTCTATGAGACTCCTACTCAAAAACTGGTAGGCATGATCATATTAAATCTCTAATGTCTAATATATGTCTAATATATGTCTAATATATGTCTAATATACTTAATATATGTCAAGTCCTTCACAGCATCCAACCGCACATTCTAAGAAACAACTATGCTAGAAACCAATAAATTTGAAAAATTTCACAGTAATGTTTGAAAATTAACCTTCTAAAAATATGAGTGAATTTTTATTTCTGTTGTTGCCAAAAAATAATTTCAAGCGTTTAAAGCATCGTTTTTATAGCACATTGCAATATCCTGTACGTTTGGATGCTAACTTGACCTTTGACCACTTTTGTTGTCAACATGTGTCGGCCATGTTGGCCATTATTTCTCAGTCTTTCGAGCTGGTTTTTTGGACAAATTTCAACCGTTTCAAACATTTCACGGCCTCAAAAACTCATAAAACGGGGAAACTAAGGTATAGTTGTTATTTTCATGCGTGACATTTCTTCTGGGGATGGATTATTTTTCCGCGGAACCGCCGAAAACTTCACGCGCACAGCCGGCAGGATAGCGGCTCGATCCACGCCGCTCGGCCGAAGAAAATTCGAATGACGAACATATTTATCGGGGAAATATTGGAATTAAATCCTTACGCGCACGCTGTTATTTGAGTAGAGGGACTGCTCACGTGCAGGCCGGCAGGCCGAGGCGGGATGTTATCAGGCGGGACCGCGGCACTGTTTATTTCAGAAGCCGCTGGCCGTAAACCCAGCCGCTGTAAAAATAACTTGCGCTCCGGGCAACCTGGCTTTCCGAATAAGTCTCGCACAGAAAAAATTACTTGCGCGGCGAGACTGCGAGACCGGGTATTTTAACCCCTGATTAAGATTTACCACATTTGTGGAAGGATTGACATAACAGGTGACTATCACCTTTTCAAAGATGTCAACCCCGAGATTAGACTGCAAGGTTTGAACCACTCACACCGGGAAGGTCCCCTACTCTTTTCGATAAGTGCGGTGGGTTCTTTAACGTGCGTGGGGTGTGGCTCTCCCAAACACGGGACCTCCATTTAACGTCCTATCCAAGGGACGTCCCTAGCCGAAGCTAAGTACTCATTTTCACCTGAGTGAAGTGAGGAAAGTCGTGTAAAGCACCTTTCCCAAGGGTACAACGTCGGGGCGCATGTTCGGACTTGTTCGGGTACGACCCGGAATCGAACCCGGGTCTCCCCGTTTCATAGTCCAGTGATGTACCACTACACCACACGACGCCACACAATGGTTGTCCTTTAAACTGTGTGGCATCTTTAAACATGAGTAACTGTGACTCAGGCAAGCCTAAAACATGTAGGTCCACTCTACAGTAAGAGCTATTACATTAGACCTTCTACTCTCAGTGAAGGATATTAACATCTATCTTCAGAATCTTTCTGAGCTCAAGACTTATTGAAGGAAAGCAATATTGCCAGTGCATGTAATGCCCTGTAAGTACAGTACTCAGTATTTTGGCTGTCTGGTAAAATTGTGAATCATTTTGGAGAAGAAGAAAATGGCTGATGATTCAAACCACATTTTTTTGTCATTCCAGACTCTTTTAAGGGCTTGAATCTGAAATTCTATTGTGAAATTGAAAATTTCAAGCAGGTTATGCAACAGTTTTTTTTATGATTATTCCTTACACATAGATGTTAAGAATATGCAGTATAGAGGTACCTATACATGTAGATACCCTAAACAAATATGTGCACTGTTCCAATTTTTGTTGCATAAACATAAACAATTTTGTGCATCTTATAGCCTTAGGATATGAAAATGGTTTTCTGATCTATATTATACTAGTATTTATCATACATGATAGTTGTTTCTTCCTTTTTACACTTACAAATGTTATGTACACAAGATGGAGCATTCATTGAGTAGAATTTTTAGAAGTACCATCCAGTGCCTGTCCCTGGTGCTGAATTCCTGGTGGTTGTTAGTATGGCTTTCCACTGTTGCCACTTTGGACAGTGGTGTAGGAACTGGCTGTGATTCCATTCAGATGATGATGTAAATGGTAGTAGCTCATTAGAAATGATACTCTAGCCTTTTTGGTGACTTTTTGATGCTAATTGTGAATTCAGGGAGCTCAACGAGGTGCTTGTTACTAATAGTGTGGGTAGTAAAGCTAATGTCTGTGTATTTTGTTTAGATTTCCAAATGACAAGCGCTAAATACATTGTCAAACTGTATCTGTAATAACTAACATCTTAAATATTTTAATGTCTTTTTTGGTCATTCAGCTTCTCATCACCAGTATAGATAATTTTGAGGGGTACATGAATATGCTAATAGTTGTCTATTTAGTTTTGCTTTGTTCATTTTTCTATTTATTTATTGGTGTGGCTGTTCATACACCAGACATAGTCAGGGCAGCCCAACTAGCAAGTAGCATGCTTAACTTTGCAACATTTCCCACCCCCATAAACCAAATGGTTCATCCCTAATGCCTTCTTTATTCTGATACAACCATGCCCAATTTTTTTTAAAAATAACTGTATTTTCTTCAAATAACTTCCTTCCAAAGAACTGATCAGGGCAAAGCATAGAAAGAGGAAATGATATATATTAAAAAAAGTCTGTCTTGGTCATTTAGCTTTCTTTTTATCTTTGTTATGGATATTTTTGAGATGTTCTGCTAATCAATATATGAAATAATGTTCAAGATGTCCACCCCCATAAAACCTAATAGTTCATCCCTAACGCCATCTTTGTTCTGATTGGCCAGACTGGCAGCCATGCCATCAAGATGTGGATGACGGATGAAGAGCAACGCCCCCTAGCTGCTACTGATATTATTGCACTGCTGGATGTGGATCTGCTCAGCTTCTATCTGTCTGGCCTGCAGGTGGAGTCCATTCTACCACAGGTGGGGACAGGACTGCTTTTTTTTTAAAACAGTGTATTGTGTAGTTCCAGTTTCTTTATTTAATATCCAGCCGCCCCCCAAAAAGGGAGGGGCCACTATAGCTGGATGGCAGACTTTGTGTTACACAGACTACATTAGTGTTTCAATAGTTTGTGCTTATAAACCTGCATTTCTCCTCTGGTCTCTCAGTCACTGAGGAAAGGTAGTGGATGCTACCCGAAACGTCTGACCGTTTCTAAAATCATATCCAGTTGCTTGTCAATGAGTAACTGTTTCTTGGCGTACATCAGTGTTGACTAGTTCTGCCAGCTCATTTTAGTGATGCTGAAGAAGAGTGATGGATGTCACTTGTAATGTTCAAAAGTAATCTTACTAGCATAGGGTTTGAATTGTCTATGAGTATATATGGGGTAAAATTGTCTTATTGAAAATTATTGAAAATAAGGAGAGTGGCAAAAGAGAAATCATAGTACTATGTATTACCTACTCATGACCTCAATAATACAAAAGACACTTTGATAGCATTATTTTTAATTCAAATATTGCTCTAAATGTACATCATAGAGAGATTCTAGATAGGACTCTAGGAGGAAATGTGAAAATATAAAAAATAATTTAAATTGGAACTGCATTACAATAAAATTGGCAAAAAAATCAAAGCAGGCAATGCAACCTCATTGACAATCTGCATCTCATTTTCCTTCCCAGAATTCGTACCTTCGCTCCAGCTACCACCGAGGATTGTGGGAAGGGAACTACCTGCCCTTCATGGTCGCCGCGGCAGCAGCAGTGCTGGCATGCATCGTCGTCACCATGGTGAGTTGCCATGGTAACGGGTGATACCAATTCGTGGGTGCCTGACCGAGTTTTTGATGGTGATCTTTGACAATACTGTAACTTTTTCCTGTAAAAGTGGCCCACCTGCTGCTCCTCTGAGGGAATTAAGTACTAAGTGATCAGTTTTTTTGCACATTGATGCACTTGATGCCTGCGGATGATTGATTGATGTAATATGAGCGCTGTTGCTGTTTTGGCGGAAGAAGCTTCACCGTAGTTGTATATGTTGCTATGGAAATATGTTACTATAGACCCTTTGGCCTCCAGCTGGTGTAATCACAGATTTGTTTGGACAATTTTTACCGAACTGTAAGTAAACGCAAGAGGATAGATATTTCGTTCCCAGTGTCATTTTTCTCAGTGTCATGTGTTTGTTACAGTAACATCTTGAAAGTACACCATCACAAACTTTTGTGCAAAATGTTTTTCCAGGTGTACTTTTACGGAAAAAGGAACAAACCCTCCAAGAAAGGACATCCTGACCTTGACCAGATGTGCGTGTACCCGGGGGTCAAGCCCGTCGTCAAGACAACCAAGGTCATCCAGCCGGACAGCCCAAAGTCGACCCCTTCGTCTTCCGTCTCCGCCAGCCCATCCCCATCCCCAGCTTACAGAGGGTCACCCAAGGCAGGCAAGCCTAAAGGTCTACAGGAGAGGTAAGGGTTAGGGTTAGGGATAGGGTTAGGGTTAGGGTTAGGGTTAGGGTTAGGGTTAGGGTTAGGGGTAGGGGTAGGGTTGGGGTTAGAGGGTTAGGGTTAGGGTTAGGGTTGGGGTTGGGGTTTGGGTAAGGGTAAGGGTTAGGGTTAGGGTTAGGGTTGGGGTTAGGGTTGGGTAAGGGTTAGGATTAGGGTTAGGGTTAGGGTTAGGGATAGGGCTAGGGCTAGGGTAAGGGTTAGGGTTAGGGTTAGGATTAGGGTTAGGGTTAGGGTTAGGGTTAGGGATAGGGCTAGGGCTAGGGTAAGGGTTAGGGTTAGGGTTAGGGTTAGGGTTAGGGTTAGGATTAGGGTTAGGTTTAGGGTTAGGGTTAGAGGGCTAGGGTTAGGGTTAGAGGGTTAGGGTTAGAGGGTTAGGGTTAGAGGGTTAGGGTTAGGGTTAGGGTTAGGGGTAGGGTTAAGGGTAGGGGTAGGGGTAGGGGTAGGGTTGGGGTTAGAGGGTTAGGGTTAGGGTAAGGGTTAGGGTTCTAGGTTGGAATGTTTTTTGATTTGGTTGAAATTTATGTGTTTTTGTTGTCTTGCTGCAGGAGAGGCTCGAACGTGTCTTTGTCCATTGACTTGCCGATGCCTCCACTGTCTGCTGACTCCGTCAAATGTGGCACCCCGCCCAAGGAAAGGTGGGAATGCAGTGGGAGAACTACTTTTTTGCAGTGTTTTGGAATATTGCAGAATGTCCAAATTTTGTTCTGCAATTCGTGGTATCAAGTGTGAAAATTTTAGATCTGCAAAGTGTAAGGTAGCCCAAGGTAGCAAGCAATTTTTTTTGCAAAAAGGCACAATTCAAGGTACAGCTGCAACACTTTTTTATCAATGAACCATTAATTGACCATTGACTGAACATGACTAGTCTTGTAATCTTTGTCATCCATTCCCCCCCCCCCCCCAGTGTTGTTGATGAGCTGCTGCAGTCTGGGACCAGGAAGATGACACGCGCTGAGCTCAGACAGTCCATCCTGAACGCCAGGGCTCTGTATGGGGAGTTCTGGGTAGGTACAGTAGCACCCTTAATGTCAAGGCTCTGTATGGGAGTTCTGGGTGGGTACTGAAGCATGCTTAATTTCAAGGCTAAGTATGGGGAGTTCTGGGAAGGTACAGAAGCATCTTTAACGTCAAGGCTCTGTAATAAGGGGAGTTCTATATGTAGGTGTTTACAGAAGGATTTTGGATGTCTAGGCTCTGTATGGGGAGTTCTTGGTTTGTACAGGAGCCTTTTTGATGCCAAGGCTCTGTATATGGAATTCTTAATGGTTACAAAATTTCCAATTTATAGGCTCTGCTTGGGGAGTATTTTTGATAAGTTGATGTAAGGGTATGGAATATATATATATACATCAATTGCTGCTGTATTTAATGTAGTGTGCTTCTTGAACTTAGTAACTCACTATTCACAATGTTTTTTGCCTGCAGGAGATTCCCATGAACCACCCTGAGCAGGTGGAAGTTCCAGGCTGCGGAACAAAGAACAGATACAAGACCATCCTGCCAAGTAAGAACTCTCACAGTCTACTTAAGTCTTTACTTATTCCCTCATGACCTCAGTGAAAAGTGGCCTGCAGATTGATTTGAGCATCTCACGAGTAAAGAATTTTCAAACAAACAGACAAACAAACTGATGTGGGTGACAATGTGGTCAGAGATAGGGGGCACTAAAGACTTTTTGCAACTTAAAGAAACTCAGATTATTATACAATACAGTATAGGCATAGGAACTTTTATCTTACGCATATTTCTGTTAACATTCTAGATGCCCACTCCAGAGTGGTTCTTCCAGAGGTGGACAACGATATTCTCACTACTTACATCAATGCCAACTACATAAAGGTAAGTCATGATCAACATGGCAAGGTGAACTGTGCCTTAGGTTTGCTCTCACAAGCAGTGAGAAATACTGTCCTCGGCTGCCATCACAAAGAGGGGATGTCCACAGTAGAACACTTAGGAACAGTACGAAACTGACACACTGACAAATGCCTGAACACCGTATGCTAAACAGGACACTATCTCATTGTGTTCGTCTGCTAAATTACAGTAAAATGTTAATGTTACATATATCTTACAATTGACTTTTTTAAAAATATTTTCCAGGATTAAGACTTATCATTAAATCTTAATGTTAATGTCTAATGTTTAAGTCCTGATAATATTTCAAGGAAGTGTTGTGTTCAGAAACTGCACTAGTGCTGTAAGGTTTTTTTTTTATATTGAATAAAACATGCATCCTTTCTCTTGCTATTGTTACAAGACTGAAGAAGACACACGTCTTTCCTGATCAAAGGCTTTAGCTCAACTCTTTTATTCTAACTGCCCGGTTCTAGAGCCCCTTCCCTCAAACAGTGCTGGTATAGATCACCTGCTCGCACGTGTTCGAACAGGTGGCCGGCCCCACCCAAGGGAGGGACTAAGACCGTCTGTTACACTATCAAACTTTGTTTCCAGGGATATGATATGGAGGAGCGAGCGTACATTGCCACGCAGGGTCCGATGAACCACACGGTGACAGACTTCTGGCAGATGGTCTGGCACGAGAGAACTCCCATCATCGTCATGATTACAAAACTCACTGAGAAAAAAGAGGTACAGTACCGTAAGGCCACAATGACTTAATTTTATGGCATGACATTTGGATGACATCCTCTGAAGATCCCCAAGCTAGTGCTTATGGGTGAACAAAAAGAAATTCCAGCAAAAAAAAATGCTGCACAGGAATTCAAAGCTGGTATTATGAATTTGCAGTAGTAGCACATAGTGACTTTTACATTAAGCCAATCCTGTATTCAAGAAGTGAAGAAAGTGACACTAGTGTGGTAGCCAAGCATCACTACAATTCTAAGAGTCAGGTCTTCCAAACTACTATCACTTCTATAACTACCTTTTTGTACACTCAGGTCTACCACAGGTCATCCATAAAATTTACTTCCAGTGGCCTGAATACAACTTTGAGACTTTATGTAGAAAATGCATTTGGCGTATCGCTCAAATCTTCCTGGACTTCTTAACACAGTGTTAAAACATAGTCAAAATGTTAACTTCACTGACCGATTTTTGTAAAAAAACTTGTAAGAATCTATATGAAGCAAGTTTTCCAACACAACAAAATGGAGTCACCCAAATTTCGACTGTACGACTCCAGTCTTTGTCAAGGAATGAACAATCCTTTTGTTGTGTTGGAAATTACAGTTTAAACTTACTTTATAATGTCTTCTACCAAGTTGAACACAGATGAACTTTCAAGATAAGATTGTAAGAATCTTTTCTGTTCATCACTACTTCAATGTTCACTGTTTTGCGCAGAAATGTGCCCACTACTGGCCTGACCTTGAGGACAGATATGGTGACATCGTGGTGTCTGTGAACAGGGTAGTGGAGCATGATGGGTACATCCTCAGACACTTCACACTCCAGGTAAGGTATAGTTGGGGACCAAAGCCAAGGTTCACAGCCCCTACACAGAGCCCCCTATATAGCTACACCCCAGCAAGTAAACAAGTTGGGGGAAAGGAGGATTGTCTTATGATGGTGCAGTATGGGCAGGGTATTCGGACTTAGCTGCCCTGCCCGGTCCACCTAAACCGCTGCCCGGTCCGGTCCGAGGCCGCTAATGGGGGTTTTGCGTATCCAAGCATTTCTCTTTTTCTGAGTGCGGTTGCGCCCCCTAGCGGAAAGCACCGGAAATGCAACAGTACACACAATAAAATCTACTGTAATTCTTGATTTGATAACGGTCACTTAATTATAGCGGTTTTAGCGGTCACTATTCCACCGCTAAATTTTCATGATCGCAACTTTTTTTACCACTTCCGCCCCCCTCCCTCTTGCCCCAAGCTCGTTACGGTACGATCGCAATCACGCTTCATTTCTTGACTACAACATGCACACAACGCACAGTACTAGTGCTTCACATAGGAACAAGCAAAACACTGATGTGCTTCCAGAAATAAAATATTTATTAAACATAAAGTAGTTCATATTTTTAACAATTATGCAGTGCTAAGCAAACCACAGTAAAAAAAAATCTTGTGAACATGCACAAACACATGTGACGCAGTGACGCTTTGAAATTTCCCAGCTTATCTACACTTGGGTATTTATAAATATTTAGCGTATATTTCGATTTAGAAGTTTCTTCATAAATCTACAGAAATGATAGCCGTTCATTTTGTGCTACTACGGGACAATATCGAAAAAAAATGAGACGAGTTACAAAATTCAGCGTCGCCCAAGCGCGCAGACAACAACAAACAAAATGGCGGCCCGGCGGCCAACTTCACAAACAAGTTACAAACTACGAGAAATGCGGCATAAATCTGCTTAATTTCGAGGTAGAAATCTAGGTAGAAATACAATCAAATGTTAAGCGTCATTTGTACTACAAAATGTAAAAGCGTTAATAGCGTGCTACGACAAAGACGAATCGAAAATTCGGGAACCAAGCGCCGAGTGAAAAAAATGGCGTCACAAGTTTTTCGAAAATTGCGAGTCAACTTTTACGGCAAAAAATACGATTAATTCATTCATTCTTTATTTCAGGTAAAAAAACCCATATAACATGTACAATACATCATTAAAATAATACAAAAACACTACAGACATACAAGTAAAACAGGAAGAAACCTAAAAGCATAACAAATGGTAGGTCTTCCGAAAGAATGAATTCCTGTAGAAGGCATCGGAATGAATTAAGCGACAGATTGTTGCGTTATTGGAGGAAAATAACCTTTTTAGAAAAGAATAACAAATTCTCCTCCTCCTGGTTTCAAAAGTGTCAATATAGTTACAGACAAACATATCACTCGCGCTGCAGCGCCGAGGCAGATTCATTATGATTCTAAAACAATTATTATAAGCCACTCTGCACTTATACAAAACATTAAACGTTACTGTTAAAGGCTACAGTGTCTGTAGAACTTTCTCGAGGGCGTCATGGATTTCATTACGCTCCAATCCTAGGGCGAAGACGCCGGGTTTCGCTATAAGCTCGTCTGCGGCGCCGGACATTTAGCGGCGTGCAGCGGCATAGCGTGCCGCGGCATGGAGCTTGGGGAGGGGGGCGGCGGTGCCGCACGCAACACAAGCGTGCGTAATTACGAACTTTTTGAAGTCACCGCGCCGCTACAGTGGGTAAATAGTTGGTGAAAAAAAAACATAATTGGGACGCACTTGATGCTGACAAGGAGTAGATTTTATTGGGTGAACTGTGTGTACTGTTGCATTTCCGGTGCTTTCCGCTAGGGGGCGCAGAAAAAGCGAAATGCTTGCTCCGGCGCATGGGATACGCAAAACCCCCATTAGCGGCCTCGGACCGGACCGGGCAGCGGTTTAGGTGGACCGGGCAGGGCAGCTAAGTCCGAATACCCAGTATGGGCAACAGATTGTCAAAATGGTTTGTGTATAAGGTTTTTGACTCAGAGTTAGAATCCACTGGGCAATGGGTTTGATTCTCTAGCTAGGCCCCTGTGCTTTGCACCTCAGAATGGCACATCACACCTATTTCCTTAGAGTACCTACATACAGCTTTGGTAGGGACATCATTGGATTTAAACTCCAGTGTTTTAGGAGAGCCACACCTCGAGCATGGTTTAAAGTCCCACAGGCACATTTCTCGAATACAATAGGGATCCATTGCAGTGTAAGTGGAGTAATTATAAATCTTAGGTTATAGTCTGGTCTTACGCAGTTTGTACTCACTTTGTAAAACTGTTTTATTATGCCTAATTTTCTTTCTCCCTCTAGCGAGGAAACGAGGTCCACCACATCAGGCACTACTGGTGCACGGAATGGCCAGACCACAAAACCCCGGAGACGGCGAAGGCCCTGCTGGCTCTCGTGCAGGAGGTGGAGTTTCATCGACTCAGACAGCCCAGGCCAAGGAGACCTGTGGTCGTGCACTGCAGGTAACTTAAGCCTTCAGGACAACATCTACATGACTCTTACTATAACATCTGTGTCCATAATATCACCAGGGTCCATAATATCACCACCTTGAGAAACAGTGTGCTTAAAGATATTTTTACTGCAACATACTTTTGGTATGCACTCCTTCACACATCAAATGCACATACCTAGGGTAAGTTGCAGTAAAAATAGTTTAAGCACACTGTTTCTCAAGGTGGTGATATTATGGACCCTGGTGATATTATGGACACAGATGTTATACAGACTTGTTTTGGGGTTCTACAAGTACACTTTAAGTTCAGGACAACACCTGAGCTTCTACATGTATAAGAGATAAAAGAGTTTTATTATACAAAACAACAACAAAAGCAAAGCAAATGCATACTGTTTACCTTCACCTGGTCTAGCTCAACTTCTGTACTGATTATTCTTAGTGAAAGGCAAATACATTGGTGAGCAGCCTTTCAAACTCTTATGCTACATAATGTAACCCAACACCACAAGGGTGTCTGCGACAGCACAAGCCACATGGTGATAGACGTCTGGTCATTCGCTTTTTTGAACAGAAGAAGAAGAAACTGAGCAAAAACAATATGTTTCCCTTCTGCGAAGGTAAACATAATCATGACAATCTCCTGTTGTTGTTTCAGCGCTGGGATTGGCCGTACCGGTTGTTTCATCGCCACCATCATCTGATGGCAACATGTTCCATGCCTGAATTACAATGTATTCTCACACTGAAGAATTTCTTCCTGGCATTCAGTTTAGGGACTGAGAGAATGAATAATGACCATGATGATGACAATCTCCTGTTATTGTTTCAGCGCTGGGATCGGCCGTACCGGTTGTTTCATCGCCACGAGCATCGGTATCAGGCAGCTGAGAGTAGAGAACATGGTGGACGTGCTCAGCATTGTCTGTGGGATGAGGCAGGACAGGTCAGTCAGGCCTTGAAATTAACTTTTCTTCCTATTGTCCCTAGCCTGGGTGCCATCCTCCGTAGTTTTCGCCCGCTCCATAATGTCGCTGGCTACCACGGAGTCTGGACTTGCTGACATATGTAACGTCTGGAATCTGCAAATTCGTTCAGATTTTGAACGAGCACGCTGATTGGTCCTACTTGTCTAAGCCCTCGTTGGGGGGGGGGGCTTGTAACCTGTCCTAACCAGTACCAATATGCACAACACAGCATTTTCTTTTCGTTAAAATGTAGACAAGTGGAACAGTTGTTCTTAAGTCTTCCTCTGCATCCCACCTCAACCCCTCAAGCTTGCAATATTCATCTGCCTTGCAGAGGATGGGCCGTCCTTGTTTTACACCAAATGCTTGCCATTTTTAACTGCTTTTTTGCTTGTTTCCAGTAGCTTAGTTGTGAGCTTGTCTTGTAGTTTTGGTCTTGAAGTTCCTCTCCCACCCTTGTGTGTTTCCAAGTCAAGTATTTCTATCCCCTTCCATTCTCCAGATGTTTTCATTTTGATCCATATTGGTCTTCATTTCATCCCTGAAATAGTTCTTTCCACTTTGTGCTTTTTACTTCACCTCACCCATTTCTTAGTCTCCCTGACTGAGATTACTCTTTCTTGAAGTCCTAAAATCTTGCTCATCTGAATGACGTGCCAAGCTGATGAAGATACCAACAGTGAATGTTGAAATGTTTGTGCATGGTGTTTTCTTTGTATTATCTCTCACCATGAACTCATAATCTTGCATTTCATCTCTATGCTTGCTTAAGCCTGGAACTTAACACACTCTGAATGCCTCCTTTCCCCTCCCCACAGACTGAACTGTTATAACTCACATCGATGTGTTTCCTACCTCTACGTTTCAGAGGAGGAATGGTCCAGACCAACGAGCAATACGAGTTCATCCACTACGCTCTCTGCCAGTTCGAGAAAACTCTTCCCTCCGAAGGGGTCGACTGAGGTCACCCCCAAACCTTCACAAGGACGACCTTCAAACACACTTGTATGACCTTGGCGACTATAAGGCCGGAATCACGTTGCCATGGCAACTGTATGATTGATTGATGATGTAGGACCAACCGTGGTGTGGTGATGATTCTTTGCTGTGATTGGTGGACGGCGGAGGCGGCCTGCGTGGCGATTGGTCAATGCCGTTGTTGCCCGGGCAACTAGATGTCACTGTGATTGGTGGATATGTTTTGTGCCACGTGTATGACTCGATGGTTGCGGAGGCGTGTTAGATGATGCCTGTAGACGCAGTTTGTGTACTAGACAGACTTTAGAAACAGACGTTTGAATGAAAACTCACCTGTGTTGATAAAATACATAGTCATAGAGTTCAAGCTTTGTTCCAACAAGAGGGAAATTTTTTATCAGTCTTGTCAACCCTCTCTGAACCGTGATGGTGGGAGATTCTGTCTTCCCGCCACTTTTGATGGACTCCTGGCGTCATCACGCTTCCGGCCTCTAGAAAGTCAGCGAGTGCATCACACATCTGATGAAGGTTCACGAGATCGACTGAAAATTTATAGTGAGTTTCCTTCTTGTGTTGGAACAAAGCTTGAACTCGATAACTATAAAAACAGAGTATATGTCTGGAAGTAACCGTTCTTCCTGGCTCTTAGACAAATGTTTGGTGGAAGGGTTAAAAAGGTCCTAGGAATTATATAGACTTGAGAAGGCTTCAGACAATTTTTTTAGGTCAGTGAGATTGTATGTCATGTTCTTGTCTTATAACCAAGTGCTTTTGTTTTTAATGTTTTATGTAGTTTATTAGGTAATGACCACTGTTTTGTTACTGTAGGCTTTTACAACATTTAAGATCGTTCTTAGTATGTTGATCACGAGTTGATTTCAGCTAAACAGAAAGAACTTTCTGGGTCTGATTCAAAATGAGAACATGGTAAAGTGTTTATCTCCAAGCAGATGTAGTCTCCTTGATTCACAATTTTTGTGCTGTTTTCTAAATCTTGCTATACTGGTCTGCATTTAGGCCACAACAAGTGAACTTCATGGATGACACCCTCTGCAAACTCCAAGAGAGCGGATAATAACAAAATGGACAAAAAATGTAAGATGCCTATTACATGAGAATCAAAGCAACACATAATAAGTCTAATGTGATATCCTAGTATCACTGCAACCGTTGAACACTACCACACTAGTGTCACATTTTCAGTATATTCTAAATTAGGAAAATCAGGAGAAAATCAAAATGAATCGCATTTGCCGATGTTATCCATAAAATTAACTTGCTTTGGCTTAAGGAGGGACTGCCAAAAAAGCCTGTCTTTAAGTAAATAATTGAAAGATGTACAATTGCCACAAAGCTGAATTTGTCATCTGCTTGGAGATTACAACATTTCAGAAAGTTTAATGCTTCTGAATTTATTGATCGCAAAAAAAGAAAAAAATCATTAACTAAAAGACTCCCATGTTGGGAAAAACAATGTTTTTATTTTTTGGGACTATTTTCTTCACACAGTAAGCATTGTCATTATGTTATTTATTCAACTAAATATTATATTTATTCGTGTTTATCAATTATTCAGGACCAAAGAAGTGACTTCAAGTAAAAAATCTAAAGATTGTTTCGTAGAATTCAGAAAACAAACCGAGTGAAGAACAAGATTCATAGCAATACTTTTTCTGCAGGATCTTATGACACATTTTATCTGTCGTTGTTTAGGGGTAAACCAGTTGATATACAAGAGTAGGTTAGAATAAGCCAAGGGGTCAACCAATTGATATCTTTGGGTGGAGGCAAGAATAACCAGGAAAATTGGCATTAAAAGTAACTAGGTCCAGAAGAATGTAACTATATAAAGCACCTTGTTGATTAAGTTGTTAATTTAATGAAGTTTAAATGTTAAAATAATAGTTGTATCCATGATATCGCTTGTAGATAAAGCAAAATTTCTTCACCAACCCCCAAAGTTATCTTTGGATGATCCCCAGATTCCATTTTGTGCAATATTCATTTAACAACCAATCCTGTACCTTCAGTTGTTGGTCTTTAATGCTTTTGGATGTAATATTTGATATCTTATGCTTTTAAATTTAAACTTATATATGTATTCTCTAAAACTTCAAAAAACAATTTATTTGATTGGTAACATAGAGCATCACTGCCAGTTGAAATTTTATCAGTTGAAATTTTAGCAATTTCTCAAATCACTTTAGGTATATACTATATATTCTGTTATTCAGGACTGGAATTCGTGCAGCAGCCTATTGGTTTTATCTATGTTTTATCTATTCGTGCTTTTAATTGTTTTCCTCTCAAATTGATTTTACTTGAAACATCATTTGTTTTAAAGATCAATCCACTATTCAACCCATTTTAAATAATTATTAGGGAACCTTTGATTTTTATCATCATGTTTTAGCATGACCAGTACAGTGTATATGATAAACCTGTAGCAATAACAACAGTTTCAGTGCTGTTTTCCATAATGTGAGGGCTCTAAAGAAGAAAAATAACACAGTATTCTAGATATATCAATCTATAGATGGACTGATCTTAGGTGAAATCTCACTAACTACACTGTAATTCTCTTCTGTTTATAGAACTATAGAAATATGTGAAATAGACTGAATAGACAAACTTTTCAAAGTTGTTGGGGGAAAAAGATGTAAATAGTTATTATGTGAGATTATTTATTAATGTTGGGTGAAGAGTAAGATAAGTATATATAATAAGTATAGTGTACTATAGTATGAAACTAATGTGTAATTTCTTCAGGGTATCTGTAAGTTTGTATCTTGATGGTACGATGAGGTGCAATAGTTTATATATAAGGGTAACACAGTAAAATGTAATTATGTCATCAGTACATGTGCTGTCAAGATGTCACAAACTTAGAACTTCTTCCATGAAGTGTAAGTAAATGTGCCATTGGTTTGGTTGTACAAAGTTACGTACTAATTCTTTTCAATAAGAAACATTGGTTTCTGTCTGTGAAAGTTCTTGTATATTGTACAATGTTGTATATAATATTAGATAATATTAGAAGATGATATTGACTTGTGGTATTGCAATATGTAAAACAAGTCATAACTACTAACTCATAACCAATATTACAGGGTCCCATGTTTTGTCAAAATTAAACAATACTAAACTTTAAGATACAACAGAATAAGAAATAGCAGTCAAATCTATGTTGGCTAAGGCCTGGTACTAACAAGGTATGGGTTTTGGAATGGGAGAATGAAATAAAAGTTATCCAGATGTTGATAACAATAAGATTGACAAGAAAAATTGGAAGAAGATATTAAAATAGAAATTCCGAAATCTATTAGCCTAAAGACATGTACCTTCATAATCCTTACTAGTCAATCAATGAGTGTTTTAATGTGAAACAATTTAGCTAGTAGTAGAAGACTGGTTAACATCAAACTTCAATTTGTACTCTCTTAACTCACATCACTTGATAAATATATATGTTAGATGAACGTATGTGATGTGTGTACTATTATCGTACTGGTTTGATAAATTTGTAACATACTACTTCAGATCATTCCTATCTATCTTGCCTTGTATGATGTACCGAAGGTTTCTTTTTATATTGTGTAAGGCAAACTATGAAGATGATTTTTTTAGGATTTCAAAGTAAGCAGGCAAAGATGCTCAAGATTTCTGTGCTTTTCTAGGCAAGCAGCTTATCTACAAAGTTTGTAGTGTAAGGTATGGATAGATTTATTTGCACCTTCAACCTTGGCAACTCATAGTTGTGGTCTTATCATGTCTCCAAAGTTTCAAATCTGTGCCAATATTGCATACTGCTGTGCAATTTATTTAACAAGAAATTAGCTATCTGTGTATACTATATTAGTTTAATTAAAAGTTTGTTAAAGTCACTTGGTAAAAAGGTCCCTTCATCACCTAACCAAGAGTTGATACCTAGCTGATGTTTCGATTGACTGGCAACTTAGAATTGAAAGGTTCTGGGTTCAAATCCCTGGACTAGTGAGGTGGTTTGGATGAGAGAGTTTTTGGACTGATTCTCAAAATATTTGTTTCATTTATTACCATATCAATCAATAGTTCATACTTACAAACCTGCCTTTCTGACAACTCTCCAGTGTCACTGACAAAAGTAAGTGGATGCTACCTGAAACGTCTGACCATTTCCACAATCATATACAGTTGCTTGTTTGGCGTATCTCATTACTTGGATGTCTAACCTTCACCAACGTACATGTAGTAAGGTATTACCTCTTGGTTCTGTGGAAGAAACCTTTTACCAAAGAAAGTATGTAGCTGTATTGAGACCATGTGTCAGTTGATGAACATTGCCAGTAAATACATGTATGTGCCAAGTGCTGGTCAAAAGTGTTCAGTGTTCTGTTTATTTATTTTGTGTCATTTTTATTCAGGGTTGCCCAGCTCAGTGGTTAACACTACTTTACAGTGGGGCCCTCTGTCATACATGTACATTAATAAACTAAAGTAGAATAGATACAGTCCCATACAAGCAATAACATTAATATACAATAAATGATAATAATGGAAAAAAAAACAATAACGAAATGGTTTAAGAATAATAAATAGTCCGTAGTTTTTAGATACAATGTTTTTTTAAAGTCATGCTTAACTTTCTGGGTGATATGTACTGTACTGTAACTTTTGTCCTGTAGTTGAACAACCTTAATGTGATTTTAATTTTGGGATTTTTTGAAAACTATGAGAAAATTAGGGCACATAGGTTGCTGCTTTTTCTGGTAAAGATAATTAATAAAAAGACACAAGAATAGAGAACACATCATCAACACTTTAGAATCATATATTCTGTTATTAATGTGATACACTGAGAATATCCACACATTCATGTATGTCGTTAGACTAAGTTTGTGATATTAGGTGATATCCACAAATTCCTCCAAAACTATACACACTCAAATAATTCTACGTTATACTATACACAAGCCATACAAATCTGACCCAACCATACAGTCTCACTGAAACTGCAGCTGCTTTTAGTTCTTTTTGACAAAGGTATAAGTCTGTTCATTTTGCTTGTCTATTTTGTCAATAGATAAAGAATTTTTGTACATTGATTACCCTTATTTAATGCCATGTTATTTAAGTATAATTTCTGTGAGCAATTGATTATTCAATGTATTTAGGCTGGGAAAAATTGCTTTTGATTCTGATCTCGACATTTGGTCACCTTTTCTGATTATTTCTTAAAGACAATCTTTCAATAGAAGAGAAAAAAACTTTTCCTCTACTTTATTTTCAAATTACTTTCAAATTGCCTTTACCTAGTGCCCCACCCTTTTCCATGCTGTAATATATTGTCTATATATTTAATTTACACTTTGATATTGAATTTACTTTTTCTTTACAATCTCAGCTTTTGCTCAAAGAGCATAGTTAGAAGACTGTACACTTGGGCCAATGTTTTACTTCATCGGAAAATGTTTACATGAAAACATTCTACTAGGCACACATCTACACCATATACATATACGTATCTGTGTGTGTACATATATATGTATATTACTGTATATATCATCAACACTTTATTTCTAGCAGCCACAACGTCAAATACGTATGTACCAAGCACCTACAGACTAGACGCCATGATTCTAATTGTTGATTTTAATGTTTTACATCATTTCAGTTTGGTTTGATGATTCATATATAGATGTTTTGAATACGAGTTATATTCTGTTGCATATAATACATAAGATAGTGTGCTTTTACTTTGGGAGCAAAATTAATAGTACCGTAAACATTTGTGTCGCTAAACTTAAAACTTAACGTAATACACACGTGCACTGAAAGTTCTTTAAATGTGTGATATTCACTGCCTAGATTCGTGCTGTGGAATTATTCAATCGAAATTGAGTCATATAGCTATTACATAAATTGCAGAATGGACCAACAGTCCAACTGTTACACTAGTAGAGTGGGTGTAAAAAACACATATTAAGTTATACATGTATCTGTAGCAAACATATAACTTTTAACTGAGTTTATCATATTTATAATATAACCCAAAATCCGCTGCTAACTCAGTTGTATCTCCGAATAACCATATGATTAAAGAATAATCTTTTTGCTATCTAATTTGTATATCATGTAAATATTAAGTCACAAATTGAGGTAATTCGTGGTCATAGCTTTCTATTGGTGGTTTCATTTATGTTTTGAAGCGGTCGGAAAATTTTTGCCTCAAAACTTTCTCAGCTACTATAACGCACAGTCATATTATTTCATTTTTTTCATCGTTGGATCATCAATTGTACTCATCATTAACTGTAAAAGTTTAACAATAGCAAGTTTAAAGGATATTGAAGCCGTATAAAGCCACCGCTAAAACCCTTACAATGATATACATTTGTAGTTATGAAGCAAGTTTAAACTGCAATTTCCAACGCAACAAATTGGACTCACCCAAATTTTTGACTGTACAACTCCAGTCTTTGTCAAGGAATGAACAATCCACCGCTTCCGTGACGTCACACAGATAACACACGTGACTCCATGAGCAGTGGATCATAGGTTGCAGAAAGTCTGTGGCGCTCCCTGTCTCATTCCTTGACAAAGACTGGAGTTGTAATGTCGAAAATTTGGGTGAGTCCAATTTGTTGTGTTGGAAATTGCAGTTCAAACTTGCTTCATAATGATTTCTACCAACACAGATGAACTTTCAAGATAACATTATTTTGTAGATATAGAACAGCAATACGTCACAAAAACGTGGTGGTGAAGAAATTGGTGATTTCTTTGAATTCATAAAATGGGCACAATGTACAAGCAGGGCGAAGAGAAAAGGTGTGTAAGAGGTTATGTGATGAGGATGGATAGGGCATGACAATGGGCATGTTTTCTTACTACATCTAATGTGATTTAAGGTGAATATACTTGACGTGTATATGAAGTTGGTCTCTATGTTTAGGTAATGATCCTGCAATGTTGTGGTCTATATCGTACAAAGGAGACAATTATGTTGCAAAAGCGCGTACCATCAATGTTACGTATGACATTGGATGAAGTTGAATATCTAAGGTAACTAATAAGGGTTTGAAATGGAAGCATGTTTTGGTCCATGAAATTTGATGAATTTTCTTTCGGAATTCTCATGCATACAATATGGAAAGATTCTTATTAGCAACTTCCTTGCTCCACTTTTTCTTTCTGTAATAAGCCATTTCACAGTTCCATGTACACATGTAGTCGTGATGCTTGATGGTCTAAGGTTAAAGTTGAAGTCCTCCGGCTTGTACAGACCATTTTTATATGCAAGTCAAAGGGATCTTTTAAAAACCTTAAACTTATGACTGCATATGGGCACTAGAAACTGTGAAGTGGCTTACGCTTTTTCTAAACAGTCACAGCGACTATATCTTTCCAAGATGCAAATAATTTTCCTTTGTACGACATAGACCGCTCTTGGTGATCATGAGGTAACCATGCACGATAGGATGAAACGCCATGCTCTGATCATGAGGTGAACATGTGACATGAGATGGAATGCCATGCTATGATCATGAGGTGAACATGTGGCATCAGATTGAATGCCATGCTATGATCATGAGGCCCAGGGCTCGAAATACTGGGTGCATGTGCACCTTAGTGCACCCTAAGTTGAAGCTGTCACCCATTTTTTTCTGGGTGCACCCAAATATTTTTAGGTATTTTTGTACATGTCAAATGCATAATAGTATGCAGGATATTCTTGGCATCTAAGTGTCAGAATAATAAAATCTTTGTTGTTGTACTAATGTTTAAGATTTTTTGAAATTAGCTCCTATTTCAGATTAAAGCTCAGAAGAGGAGCAGTAAGATCTGTAATTAGGTTTTTCTTCATATGGTGCACCAAAAAAAATCTTTGTGCACCTAATTTTTGAGGTTGGATGCACCAGTGCACCTATTCCTAATAATGAATTTCGAGCCCTGCCTCTGAGGTGAACACATGCCATGAAATGTATAAAGTCTTCCTATGATCATGAAGTTCACATGTGACATGAGATCATGAGATGAACGCGTGCCATGAGATGGAATAGATGTAGTGTGATGCCCTGCGTGCCTGCCTGACATGTTGGCTCTTAATATTGTATAAAAAGGGACGCTATGTCATTCTCTGGCAGGTAGTAGTACACCACGTAGTACACGACGTTCAGCAGGGCGAACGCCACAGGGAACAGCCAGCGGGCGTGTCTGTCCACCTGGGAGGGAAAGAGAAAAAGCACAACACTTTCAAGGTAGGTATTTTTTTAGAATTCTGGCGCCCAATTTTGTAATATCCTGAATAAAAAAATGACCATTCAGATTGGCATCTGCAACTGATTCTCGAAGTTTCAACATAGTAGCTTTAACTTGTGCACTGACATTACTGTATGTCAAAAAAAAAACAATGAGCAGCTCTTGGAAATGCTGCAGGTCAAACTGTTCTCGGCAGGAGTCGCTCTTTAGCTATACTACAGTATTCTACGGTTTCCATGTTCTTTGACTCTCAAACATGATGGTGCTTGATTGTTTCTAACAGTCAATTAGATATAGAAGTCCAAATACTACGTAAGTGTTAATGGGCCTAAATTCTCCTCCTAGCTCTGATTGGCGGAGGTTTTTCCGCCAATGAGATATAGGAGGTTACCATGTAATCTTATCTTTCAAATAGCTTTGTTAGCATTTAAGTTAACAGTTTAATGTCTTGGGGTGGTGGGACTACGGCGCACAGATATGTCAAGTTGTTAACTTGAGTGCACACTGTCCTTGTTATGTTTGCATGTTTTGATGAATAAAAAAAACATGATGGTGCAGGTATTATAAGACAAACGTTTTTTAGAGAACAGTTTATTCTAGTATAACACAGTTAATGTAGTAAAGCTGCTCGTACCGAGTTTCCTGTTGAGAGTTTGGCCAGCACGGCGGCAGCGGCTGCCTGGCTCTGTCCGCTCGCCGCGCCGTTCTCAGAGCACGAACTGCCCTTCCCTTTCTTCTTACCGTGCTTCCCTCCGCCCTGAGAACAACAACACAACACAACCTTAGTTATACACTGTTTCCAGAGGCAGTGGCCGTTCGGGGACCAAAAATGTCCGTAGTTCAAACGAATTTCGCTCACAGAGAAGCGTAATTTGTGGATTTTGTATTTTTTGGATGTCTTTCAAATAACATTTTCACGTCATGGATCATTTTGACAAACCATATGGTCGCTCAACGGACTCTATCAAGCTGAAGAACAATTTTAAGCACCAAGAACTTGGGTTTACAAAGAGTTCCGAAGAGTATAATTAACATCCCTTAAGAAAAAGATTAGTAGAGCAAAGAGTCCTTGAATTTAAAAAGACACAAAATACAATGCTTTAGATGAAATCAAAGGCACCATACATAGAATTCGCTCCTTTGTTAGATGACCTATCCATATCCATTGGGTATTGTATCTTATATGCGGTCATGATAGAGATTTGGATATCAATAGAGATTTACAAGGCTAACTTGTTTTCATGCTTAGACTATAAGGCGCATCTATATGCACACAAAAATGCGTACTTCCGGTGCTGGTGGCGCCGTCGCAGCCTTTAAAGCCGCCGCCTTCGTGCCCCGATAGAGGTTGTGCGCGAGCGCGTACTCCAACAAGGCGCCGAAGACGAAGACGTAACAGCCGAGCAGGTAGACGTCGATGGCTTTGATCTCGGCGTTCTGCGGCAGCGATGCATTCACTCCAGACATGAGCGTCTGCATGGTCAGCACGGTGGTGATTCCTGCAATATGGGAAAGGAAGTTTGTCAATATGTTTCTACGCATGATGCCAACACATAACCAGTACTAAAACTCAATCGGGAAGAGTGCTCGCTTTGTAACCGGGAGGTCTTGGGTTCAGACCCCGGCCTGGTCATACCGAAGACTTAAAAAATGGTACATACTGCTTTCTCTGCTTAGCACTCAGCATCTATGAAAAAGAGTATATATGGGAAGGTCAAACACACAACACTTCAGCAGGGGGCTAGCTCGCTTAGCAGCTGTCTCACTCTAAATTGACGCTGTCAATACTGCTGAGGTGGCGGTTGACACAGGACTTGAATTTGTGCCTGTTCCCAAGAGTTACAGTGTCTTTTGACAGAGAGTTCTAGAGTTTTACGGTGGCCATGCAGGAGAAAGGTTCTGTGGGCAATCATCCGGCAATCAAAATAAAATATCAAAAGGTTTTGGCAGCTGCTATATGCTGATAGGCTATTCCGAAATGGACCGTGGGCAGGTAATTTTTCTTGTACAAGATGAAAGCAGTTGTAAGAGCTTCTAGCGATGGAACTGCGGTTAGCCATCCATCCATTTCATTTTTATATGTTTTTACCAGGAAATCACACTTAGGTCTGTGTCCTGCTCTTCGGGTGCCCCTGCTGAAAAAGACTTGTCATGACAATCCTTCCATCTTACATAAACTGTTAACTTGTGAAAGACGTCAACATATTACAACCGAATCCCTCTCATGATCAATACTATCACTGTCTCTGTCGTTTACATACATTTATTAACCGAAATTTCATGTAACTAACCCTACATTTTTGTATTTCTGTCCTTGGTACTGAAACACTGTCCGTTTGTTGCATTCTGCGTTTCTCAAATATTACAAGGGAACACAACATATGTTCATTACGACTTTCGGTAGCGAAATGATTCTAGATAACACATATTTTAGCACAAGGCTTTCACGTGAACACAAGTATTTCACGTGGACATCACGTGTACGCCACGTGAACGCCACGTGCGTTTCACGTGACGCACGGAACTTACCCAGGGCTATTCTGGCCGGCACGGCTTCGTGATGGATCCAGAACGAGACCCAACTGAGAACCACGAGCAGAACGCACGGCAGAAAAGTCCGTATCATGAAGTACACGAAGTCTCGATTCATCTTGAACTTCAGACAAATCCACGAATAAATACCTACAAGAAAGCCAACATGCTCTCCCGTCAGTCAAGGAAGCCTGTTGGCGGTGTGTTAAGTCTGTAAAGACTCCGTTCGCCAGCTCAACTGATTTGCACACTGATATTTCATCCGTGAATAGTTTCATCAGGTTGGTAAGACACTGAGTAAAGAGACTTTTTTTACACAACCAAGTCGTTTACTCAGCCGACGTTTTGGTGACCGTCTGTCATCTTCCTTTAGGGCAATTCTGACTGGTTCACTGGTTCTATAGCAGCGACACCTGTGCTTCAATGCAATGTGAACCAGCCAGAATTGCCCTGAGGAAGGTGACAGACGGTCACCGAAACGTCGGCTGAATAAAGACTTGGTTGTGTAAAAAGAGTCTATTTACTCACTGATATTTCATTTCACATGTGCCCAGCGGCATGAAACTCTACCCTTTTAAAAGATACCTGTGTTGCTGCACTTCCTGTGCTTGAAAGAAAAACCAGCACGTTTTGTGAGAAACGAAATTGCATATCAGTGACAAGGCAGGTGTGCTGGTGAACGTTTGTCACTTGCTCTGACAACAAAGTTGCCATGGAAGGAGGCTATCTTTTATGACATGTCTGTTGCAAGACGGTTATAATTAGGTTACATTAAGGGGTTGTAAATTTGGAGGTGGTTAGGTTATGTGAAGGAGACTTCTTAAGAAGAATTTCAGATTTGTATAATGTCAATTCCACTAACGTTCGTCTAGTTCGCATTCGTCCAGTTGAATAACCTTTTAACAAAATGAATTTTAGTTTTCTTCCAACTTCATCTTCAAACCGTGTACAATTTTGCAACTGTGATCACTTTTCTCCTCTTGATAGACCTCGTTCCATGGAAGCCCGTCGCCATGGTTACCGCCGCGCGTGCGCGTTTGTTTGTTTACTCACCCAACCCCACCCTGGCAGGCACAGCGTCGTGATGAACAAAGAACGACACCCAAGACAAGACCACCACCAACACGCACGGGAAGAACGTCCTGATCATGAAGTAGATGAAGTTCCGTTCCATCTTGAACGTCATTCGCAGGCTAGAATAATTGCCTGTGGCGAAGGGCACAGCCCTTGTCAGCTTCATGGTTTATTTATTATATCCGAAAATAGTGTATTATATCCGAAAATCAGGTTGGTAGAGTATAGGATATATAGGGGTATTATTCTTTTTACAAGTCAAAACTTGTCTTATCTTGCTTACGTTTCTGTGTCTATCATACACCTTCCTCAGAGCTTCTGACTGGAGTTCTGCTTCTCGCCGCTTGTAGCCAATATAGATGGAGAGAACACAATCCCAGAAGCTCGGAGGAAGGCGTCTGATAGATACAGAAACGTCAGCAAGGCAAGTTTGGTTGTGTAAGCCCCTATATCCTGGTTTGTTTAGTAGCACCGCATGAAGAATGAGAAGACAGTCATGGTGGTGAATACTACTCTGACAGACAAAGCCATACGTGTGACGAGATTTTTAAACAAACTAAGCTCATCTGCAGCTTCAAAAGCGTGTTGAATATTAGGAACTTTTTGATTCAATATTTTAGGCCGATAGCTTTTCTTTGTAGACGTATTTCTAAAACACACTTTCTTCTTGTTGCTGCATAAAATACAGGCTGTATGAAATTACACCATGTCCATGTATATGTCAGAAGAAAGATCATGATGAGCAAAGGCAATGGTAAGACAGATAAATGAGAGATGAAGCGAATTCTTGTGGTTGCATCGCACTGATCATTCTTATTTTCACAACTATCTTTATGAAAGACAATGGTGGTTGAATTGAGCATAGAATGCAATGAACCGACGGTGATTACACACACGTACACAACGCCCAAAGCAGCAAAAAAAGAGTCCGTACATACGAGTATGTATGTGAGAAATCAGCATTAGTGGCATCACGATGTGGACAGTACACAATGATAGGCCATGCAGATGCGGCAGTGATAGTTGTGAGTAAAACATCGAGGCTGCGTTTTGCTTCAGCGAGAACACGCGGTGAGGTCAATTAATACAAAGTGGTGATTTTAAGAATGAAAACGGTCCTTCTTAGATGAGATTTTTCTTTGGTATGTCTGTGAGAACTGATTTTGTGCGTGAATCAATGCTGGTAGTTCGAGGATGGTACTGTTTAGTGGATGGTACTGGTAAGTGACATCGCAGAGAGTGAGATGCAAACGTTTGGTTTGAAGATTGTTTCATAGATAAATAAAAGATGTTTTCGTCTCAGAATTAGTGAGGTCTGTGCTAATAAGGGACTTGTATGTAGAAAGGTGCTGGTGGTGCTCGAAGAGGGTATCATTCTCGGTTCCTAATAGAAACATACAACACTGAATCATCAACTCTATCCTGAAGCAAAAAGCAGCTAAAACAACGCAACATCAGGCATGTTGACGTGGTTTTAGATTTTTGCGGATCGTAGGCAGAGAGAGAAAGACATGCAGACACTCATGCGATGGAAATGGAACCATACTCAGAGGTTAATAAGTGGAGGAAAATCGAGGGCGAAAGTTGTATACAAATTATCACAGAATTTACGATTTAGACCACATCGTCTTAATTTTATGGATGACATCCTCTAAAGACCCCAAACTAGTGCGCGCGGGCAAATAAAAAAAATTCCGGCCAAAAAAAAAATACTACTAAACCACACGGATACAAAGCTGGTATTGTGAATTTGCGGCAGTACATAGCGACGTATACAACAAGCCGACACATGCTGGCTTTTTGCGGAATTTATAAATAGGCACTGTACGTATGTACTGAGTTCTTGAGTCAGGAGCTTCGATATCCTGGGTGTCTGGCTCCGTATTGTCAACTACATGTACCCAGGCCTAGAGCCAGGCGAACAGGCGAAAATCAATGCGCGCGCGGATGTCATCCATACAGTTAAGATGGTGTGGCCTTACCGTAATAATGCCGTAATTGTTGATGGTTCAATGCAACCTGTGGAAACTATCATGATAGACAGAAGTGGAGCTCTTTGGCTACAAGAGCTTAAAGACAGTACAATGGATGGAGATGAACTAGAAATAGACAGTGGGGTAAAGAAGTGTCAAGGGTTCTTTATAGTACTTTTATATATATGTTGGTACATTTATAATGGACTAAATCAATCATGTAGGTCTAGTTAAGTGGGGAAAGTAGCCGACTCGTTTGGTCAATCGTTGATTGATTCTGAAAAGACCAAATCCAGATCATGAGATTTCTTTTACTGGCTTGCAAACAGACATTACGTCAAGCGTTTGGCAACGAAAAAGCCTGTCATTCCCCCAACCACAGTTACCTGTTTGTTTGTTTGTTTGTTTGTTTACCTGTATCCCTGGTGACGTTTCCCGTAAGAGTGTCGAACCTCACTATAGAATACTTGGCTAATTCCACGTCTTTCATGCCGCGCACAGGTTCCTGGTCTGTTCTCCAGTGATACGCCACGTCACGGTTGGCGTACCCGTCTGGGGGGAAAAGAACTTCATTAGACCCAGGAAAAAAGTGATGAGTTTCCCAACAAACCCTAGAAAAACCAGCCAACCCTAGAAAAACCAGCCAACCCTAGAAAAAAATGCCAACCCTAGAAAAAACTGCCGACCCTAGAAAAAACTGCCGACCCTAGAAAAAACTGCCGACCCTAGAAAAACTTGCCAATCCTAGAAAAACCTGCCAACCCTAGAAAAAACTGCCAACCCTAGAAAAAAACTGCCAACCCTAGAAAAAACTGCTAACCCTAGAAAAAAACTGCCGACCCTAGAAAAAAAACTGCCGACCCTAGAAAAAAACTGCCAACCCTAGAAAAAACTGCCAACCCTAGAAAAAACTCTACAAGGGACATAAATTTTTCAAGATGATGGACTTTTTTTCAAGCTCCATGATCTGACAGTGATGAAACGTTGTACAGTCAGTTTTCTGACAATGACATTGAAAGTATAAGATTTTGGCTAATTCCACGTCTTTCATGCCGCGCACAGGATCCTGGTCTGTTCTCCAGTGATACGCCACCCGTCTGTGGGGGGGGGGGAGAACTTTATTAACTAGAAAATTAACATTTGCAAAGCAAATGCATAATGTTTATCTTTGCACATGGTCTAATCTGTTAATCCTAACTCCAATACATTTATATATATGGTCAGACAGAAGTCTAAATCCGTCCTGCTATAGGATTGCAACATTATGTAACCCAACACCACGGTGACAGTCGTTAACAAATCAGGCCATTGGCCAGGTCAGAGGTTAGCATTTGGAGAAGAAGAGGAAGGAAACTGAGCAAAAACAATGTTTTACTTCGGTAAACATAATGACAATGACAATGAACTTAATTGCATATTCACACCCCACATGGGCCAAATGCACTAAGTTAGATAACTGAGGTACAAGGGTAGGAGGAACAAGTGCTACATTGCTATGCTACATCCATATCTGCAGGGTCTCTTTACTCATTTTGAAAAAGAAGGTTTTATTAGAAGATGGCGACTCACAGCTTCCTAGTTCCAGGGTGCAAGTCTGCGTGTCAAGTGGGAACTTTTTCAGTCGCATCTTGCACTCTGCTGTCGTGGTTATTCTACAGGACAGAGAAAAAACGAAACGCAATTCCATGAGAACAAAACTGTCAAATGTCAATGTATGGCTTAGATTTTCTTAGGGTAGAATAGGGTAGAATATAAGAATCGAGGTTCCCTGTAAATCTGATAAGAGATTCGAAGAGTCGTGTATTATATAGGACAAAAACGAAGAGGTGGTATTCGAGACATTTGATCCTACTTGGTCTTTCTTTTTAAATTTCTCTGGCGACTACTGATGGTTTTCAAACTGTAAGAACGTATCTGACGTACGTGTCTACCTGACACACCTAACGTCTTACATAGCTTACCTAACGTTATACAAAAAAGTACAAAACGTACCTAAAAACTTATACAGGACTTACCTAGCGTTATACAGAACAATAACGTTATACACGACGTACGTAACATTATACATGTGTACAGTGTTATACAGTTCTTACCTAGCTTTGCACAGGATTTACCTAGCGTTATACAATACTAACTTAGCGTTATAAATACTAAACTAGCGTTATACAATAGTTACATAGCGTTATACACGACTTATCTATGGTTATACAGGGCCTATCTAACGTTGTGCAGGACTTCCCTAGTATTAGACAGAACGTACCTAACTTTATACAGGACTTACCTTACGTTATGCGCAAGATACGTAACGTTATACATGTATACCGGGTTATACAGGGCTTATTACCTCCGGGTAGGGATGTACATCCCGAGCGCGGAGGTTTTGTGAGGGAAGACGAAATTAGCGTTCGCACCCGTTTCTCGCGTTTGGGTGGACGGATATGTCTGGGAGTTGGTATACGTTTGCTGTTGGGCTGTAGATGGTGCACGTTGTTTGGTTTTTTAGTATGTGTGTTTTAGTGCGTCAAAATGATGCGTTTAGACCGCCGATGGACACCCCTTTCAGTGTGAAAGTGGACCTCAGCTTTTGACCTTTGCATGTATAAGGACGATTG